CTTCTCTCTCTCTCTCTCTCTCTCTCTATATATATATATATATATATATATATATATATGAGCCTAAATGGTAAAATTAAAGGGTATATTGGGCCCTTTGCCTTTACACTCCATAACTATAGTTTGATAATTACGATTCATAGTTACGTGTTATAGGGAGGAGAGAGGAGAGAGAGAGCTAAAAGTGGGAGAGAAGTGAATTGTATATGTATATTGGTTAGATAATTGTATATTATACATATGTATTATATACCTGGCAAGCGGCATTGGGAGAGAGAGGAGAGAGGAGAGTGAGATTGAGAGGGAGGAGAGAGGTGAGCCATAGAGGGCAGAGAGTGGGAGAGGTGAACTATATATGTGTATTGGTTAGATAATTTTATATTATACATATGCATTTACATAAAAAGCAAGCGATATTGGGAGACGGAGGAGAGAGATGAGCGATATAGAGGAGAGAGTGGGAGAAAGGTCAATTGGATTTGCATATTGATTAAATAATTATATATTATACATATATATTTGTACATTCTAACGAATTATACATATACAAATATTGTTAATTATACTAACTCGAAGTCAGCTCACATAAAAAATGTATAATGTTAGTCGTGAGTGATAATTATAGCAAACTATATCTATAATGAGTAATTAAATAGTATAAGCGTAATTTTCTCCTTTTTTTCTCTAAAGGTGAAAGGATCCCAGTTAGGAACTCTTCATGCTGGTTACTTCACTCAACACGCAATATCACACATGTAATTTGGGTCAAATAACATGTTGGTTTATGATAATCTAATGTGATTAAACTGATTTGGTGGGATAATTTCAAGCTGTTAATCAATTTGTTTCGGCTTTGGGCCTAGATAAACATTTGAAGGCCCAATTATTAAACGTGAAAAGAGTAGGATGATATGAATTTTTTTAAAGAACCATAATAAATGTAATTGTGCTTGAAGCAGAACTTTAAAAAATGGCTAAAGTTTGGACTTAATTAGATATCTATAGTTATAATTTGCATAAATACGAATCATAACTATAGTTAGAAGGAGGAGAGAGGCAATCAAAGATTTGGGAGAGAGAAAAGAGGTAAGATACAAGATATATTTAACATATATATGTTATATACACACATAGAGTCAGGTATGGGTTGTATTCAATATATACATGTGGTTAGGTGGTATCGAGAGGGAGAGAAAGACGTGATAGAAGAGAGGAGTTCTTCTAATTCTATGAACTTTTCTAGAATACTCTTTTTCTTGAATATTATTCAATAAAATTTCCAAGAGGGATGAGAGAGAAAGAGTTGGGAGCGAAAGCAGAGATTTGCTATAATAATAATAAGTGTAAATTAGGTATATAGCATATTATGTAGTCATATTCTCAAGTTATGGCATAAGAGTTTGATTTTCATTCTATAACATTTAATATATCAACTTATAACATTTTTTTTAAAGTTAATTAATGTTAATTTTTATTCTGTAAAATTAGGACGAAAAATAAAAAATAAAAAAATAATTAATTAAAATTGGATAACTTCAGTGAATTTAGTTAATGTTATTAACTGATAATAAATGTGCACCTTTTAAGGGATTTGAAAATATTTTAATTATAGATATGCACTTTAATTGTCTCAATTCGTTTTAAATGCTAATTAGTTTTGATTTTTATCCTTAAAAAATTGTAATCTGTTATTTCTTTCCATAAATGTGCACCATTTGTTTTGTTTTTTTTCTTCAGAAAGTGAACTTTATTCTTATATTTGAATTTTGTTATATTTTATCGTTTTTTTTTTGGAAAAATAATTAAAATTGAAGGTTGAAAAAGTTTAGATTTGATTTGATGGAGAAAATTGTGTCAATTTTAATTAAACATGGTGGCAAATGGAATTCATCAGGTTAGTGTTTTTTTTTTTTATGATTTGTTATTTTTTTAGTATAAATTATTGGTTGTAGTTATATATATGTTTTTTGTTGTCATGTATTGAATGTGTCGTATTTTTTTTCATGTTATATTGCATATGTTGAATTGATATATTTTTTTTGTGATACAATTACGCAGTGTTTCTGGTAATAAATATTTCGTAATATTAAATTTATTTTCATGTGTAATTAAATCGAAGAATGGTGTGAAATTTGATTACTGGGTAAAATTGAAAAGTTTACAGATTTTGATCAATTTTTTATTTTTGAAACAGTATGAACAATATCTGACATTTTGTATTAATAATGTGTGAACGTTAAATGAAATATGATTTTTTGGTAAAAGCTATTCCATATTATATTTAAATTTTCATATGTTATTTTTTTTTGTATATTGTTTAAGTAAGAAAACTGTATTAATTTATGTATGTAATGTATATAAATAGTGTATGCAATATATATGAAAGCCAATTTTTCTAGTTGAACGTAGCAGTGAATGATTTGTAATATATATATGAATTATGTATAAAAATTGGATTAACTGTGTATTAATTTTTTATTAAATTAGATAAATTGTGTATGAAAGTGAATTTTAGATTGTATGTAGCAGTTAATTGTATAGTATGAATTATGTATAAACATTGTATTAATTTTGTATTAATTTAAAATTTTGTTATTGCATATATAGGTAAATTGTATATAAATTGTGTATGAAGTGTGTATTAATTTTGTATAAACATTGTATTGAGAGTGTACTAAACAGTGTATTAATTGTGTATTAAATTACAATAGTGTATAAACATTGTATTAAGTGTGTATTAAATTTAAATTTTGTTATTGCATATATAAGTGAATTGTATATAAATTGTGTATGAAGTGTGTATTAATTTTGTATGAATAAACTTATAATTTTATTATGGGATGCACTGAATGTAATTTTAATGTTGTGAAACAGGGAAATACGTCGACTTTGAGATGGAGGGCATCTTATACGATACTTTACTCTTTATACTGGTTTAGTTAATGCTATAGTAACTCAGCTAAATATAGAAGAGAATATAAATTCTGTTGAGATAAAGTATATAGTTAGCGAAATGTGTCCACCTATAAAAATTCATAATGATGTTGGGGTAAAGATTTTTCTAGATCAGATGAGGGTGAATTTGGATTTTTTTACAAAATATCCATTATGCATCACTTTGAAAGATTGTGAGCAGTATAACGAATGTCATAGAGTTATAGTTAATGATAGAATAAATTCTGATGTTAGATTATCACAGACTAACATAGATCTGTACTCCAACAATTCTATCAGTTTGATCGGAATGGATTTAGACGGAGTTGTCAATGATAATAGTGAAGTAGATAATGATATAATATGTGATCATTCTAACCTATTTGTAGCTGATAATCAGATTTATAATAATAAAGAAACTCTTAAGGAGGTTATAAGGCATGTTAGACTTGTTGAGAAGTTCAGCTTTCGGGTTGCGCGTTGTAATGCATCTAAGTAAGTTTAAAATTATTTTTTGTTTTTTTATTTGTTTTGTTATAATGTATATATTGTAATGTATATTTTCTTAAATTTTGTAACAGTTATCACCTGAATTGTATTTCTAAGACTTGTTCTTGGATGATAAGGGCATCTAGTTTGAATAAATCGAATTTATTCAAAGTTAGGAAGTATATTGCTCAACACACATGTTCTGTTAGGGAAAGAGTTTATGCCAGACGTCAAGGGATAACTGACGTTGTAGCTGTCTTGATAATAGAGAAGTATATTGATCCATCTAAGGTACATACTCCAAAAGATGTAGCTGATGATATGTTGAAATTGCATGGCATTTCGTTGACATACATACAGGCATGGAGAGCTAAAGAAAAAGCAGTAAAGTTGGTGCGAGGAGATCCAGCAGAATCTTAAGCAAGATTACCTGGTAATTTCGAAAATAAGGATAAATTTAAACATTAGTCATTGTGTTGTACTGTAACAGTTTGGTGTATTCTTTATGTATAAAATATGTACATTTTATGTGTGAATTGGACTGTTATTTTCAAGTTATTTTTACATTTTGGAGCAAACATATCCAGGATCTGTTTTGAAAATAAAAATGAATGAAGGTGACACACTTTATATGCATTTGTTGCGTTAGAAACTTGTATTAGGAGTTGGGATTATTGTAGGCCAATTATAGTTGTTGATGGTGCCGCATTAAAATGTTCATATGGTGGTACAATGTTAACTGCAAGCACATTGGATCCGGGAGGTAAATTATTAGCCTATTTAATTTTCTAATTATATAATATAATGAAAAAACATATGAATGATATTTCTGATTTGTGTGATATTTTTTTTAAATTAATGAGCAGGTCATATACTTCCGTTGGCGTATGCGATAGTAGATTCTGAAATGATGCTTAATGGACATGGTTCATTGAGCAGTTTAGAGAAGCATATTGAGTTAGACAAAATATGTGTTTTATGTCAGACAGAAATGAAAACATATGGAAAGGGACAACAAATGTATATCTTGAATCAGAACATTATGCATGCATATGGTTTTATCAGTCAATGTGTTGAAGAATTTCAATAGAAATACTGAAGATTTGAAAATTTTGTTCTTTTCATTGGCAAAAAGCTTATACAAAACAAGAGTTTGAGACAATTATGGGAAGAATAGATCAGATAGATACGCGAATACGACAATACTTGTTTGATACCCC